TCCACGACCCGATGGGTTGGTTGAACTTCGCAGCATTGTAGAACATGCCGTTCATGGTTCGGACTTTGCCAGTGTTCCAAGAACTGATCGGCTGATCAAAGGACATGGCTTCAGAGAACATGTCTTCCATGTCAATGACTGCTGGTGTGATCCACGCATCAATTGGCTCATTGAAACTGGACGCCTTGTAGAACATCTTGCGCATTGTCTTCACACTTGACGTGTTCCACGCACCTTGGCTCGACTCACCGTGTTTTGGCGGTCGTCCGGGTTCGACCATGGGTCGATGTCATGGCTCCTGCGCGGGGGGGGTGACCATGGATTGGGAGGCGCCCAAACTTGTTCAACAAAAATCACTGAAACGCATGTGAACGGGCACCGAAACGTTCATATTCATGAACCAATGTGCGGCCGAACGTCCGATGGGCATGTTGAATACAGTGGCTCCATGGAACATGGAGCTCATGTCCAGTACCTTCGAAGTATCCCATGCGCTGATGTTCTCATTGAAGTCTTCCAAGTCCTTGAAGAGGCCACTCCTTGGAGTGAACATGTGTGAAGGGCAACTGGAGCGGCGAAGCCGTAAACATCGAGGGGACATCCAACTCGTAGATATGCCCGACATGAAGTCCAGATTGAAACATATGTTGACCCGACTGAAGTCAAGGAAATTCCTTTGGACAACTCTTTTTATGGTCGTTGAATCCCAGGGTATATAGTTTGTCCAATCTTGTCATTTAAATCGAGGCGAAAGAACGAAAGCGAGGTGGGATGCCAGTCATGAGGGGAGATCATGCCTCTCAACTCCTCTCAAACACGGATGAAATGCATCAAAAACGAAAATAGAAGCCATCCGCTCTTGAACAAGCTTCATGTTGGTCACCGCCGACACGTTCCATTCACCAGGTGCTCCCCACAAGGAGGTCAGCTGCAACTTGGTGGAATCGTCGGCATTGTGCCACCTCTCAGTCGCGTTTCAGGCGAGGTCGGAAAGGAAGAATTGAGGTTCATCACTGATACCATCTACTAGACCCCCTATCACCTGAGATCAGGACCTGAGATCAGGAAAATCATGGAGAGGGTAGTTTGAGGTTCTAGGTTGCTCTACTTCATGAGGCTTTCAACCTCTCCCAGAGCAGACTATGCAACCTAAAACACTTGACACGTGAGGCACTCTTTTCCATCAACCTCGCTGCGTTGATCTCCCATCGACGCTCCGAACGCGTTCGCGACGCAACGCGCGCGGCACCGGGTCGTCGCGGCAAGAAGCCCAGGCGCTGGAGCAGCGCATCTCGTAGCTCTGCTCGGGTGGAGAAGTGAGATCCATAAACTGAGAGCAACATGCACAGCCAGCGAAGCAGAAGCAGCGCCACCATCGCTGATGATTCCGAGGCCTCTTGTTGGAAGCGCTTTTTGGTGCCCACCCGATGGGCTGCCGAATTCGTGAGGACGTCTGAGCCAAAGAAGACCGCCATGCAGAACGGTCTTTTCAAACATCTATGAACATCACTCAGAAACCAAGAAATGACCAGATCTCGTCATGGCATAGAGAGTTGGGAAATGCTGACGCATGTAAGACATGCAAAGTGAACTGTATGACCCCTGCAAGGACGATGTGAACCTCGTAGTCTTTGACTGCACCGTCACCAAGTACCCTGTCAAGTACCCTGGCACGAGGCTCTCGGATCACTTCACTTCCACACTTTTTGGTCCCCAAGTCGCCTTCGACTTGTGCTAGATCAATTGCAACTAGACTTCTGCCAGGCTGAACTTCTCGGCTTTTGCACATGCACATGATAATTAAGCTGTCAGACTTCTGCTAGACAGAAAAGACGTCCTCACGATCGGCTCTGTTGATGAGTCGCTGGAATTTCTCCCGGACCACCACGCAAATCCACTGGATCATGGCGTCCTTCACGTGCTGATTCACTTGGTCGAAGCCTACCTTTGCTCAATGTGAGCGCAACGACCCAACAAACATCAGGAAAAACCATACAAGAACCTT